AGTACAAAGTACATTACATTTATTTGGCGCAAGTACACACTCCCATATAGGGTGCCTCCCAACCAGCGAACCGGGTGCTAAGGGTTTAACGATCTTACGGGGCCCCATCGTTAAATCAGTACCTTGGTTCAATCAATCATAAGGTGGGTCGGACAGTTGCTGAGGTGATGTGGTAGCACTCACAATCAGCTCTTGCCAGATTCATACGGCTCCTGGTTGTTCACAGTTCTCTCTGTCTCTGGCTGTTGTTATGCCTTTTGATTACCATACTGTACACTTATATTTCAAACTTGTACATAGTGTACATAATTGTATACATCTATACATATACCTGGTGAAGGAAAATACAATTTAAAGAATACTGCTGTGTTTATTTCTACTCTTAAGTCCAATTACGACCAAGTTAACAGGCCATTATTACCCGAGTGCGTAATATGGGAAGCCTGTCCAAGAGTTGGAGCTGTAATTAGAACTGGAGCAGGAGCTAGTTTTGTATCGTTCAGATAGCCTTGCTATCGTTTGGCATTACGTGTCAGCGTTGCCATCGCTTCCTTTATTGCCTCGCTTTGCTATTGCGTGTCAGCCTTGCTATTGTGTGTATGTATATTCTGCAGTCATACTGTGATTTGCGTGTTGCATGTATTGCAAACAGCATGTTACGTTGGGGTTAATGCCACCTATACATGTCAGGTGATTGGTGTCTGAGTTCATTATTAAAACTGCCCAAACTTTCTCTACAGCAATGCTGACAAATTGCTCGTTCCAGTGGTATAGAGTATCAAAACACTCTTACTGCTACTCAGCTTTGTGACATTATTCGTACAAAGTTGAAAACTGAAACAGCTATGGTGCATCAGACTGACATATCTCCTGCCACAGGAGCTGTTAATTGCAGATCTCCACTTAGGTTCCTGCAGAATAATGGGAGACACACAACACCAGAAAACGCAGACTAGCAGTCTCGTGCAGCAGTAGGTGCATCAGGTTTGTCTAAGGAAGAGTCTGCTTCATTGGTGCTTGAGTTAGCCAAAATCAATCTTGAGCAGACCCACGAGCAGCGAGCATATGCTAAGGAAGAGTTTGATAGAGAGGACAGGAGGCAGTGTAAACAGACTGTAGATGACTTTAATCTGCAAAAGGCAGTACCGCTAGCTCCTCATTTTGTTGAAGCCGAGCCTGAACAGTTTTTCGAGGCATTTGAAAACCAGGCCTTGAGGTGGCCTGAGGTGCATTGGGCAGCATTGGTGCATACAGTGTTATTAAGGCACAGGAGTTTACATCTGTATGCTACCCAGTTAAAGAATTAGTATGTAGCTAAGCTTCTTATGAAACTGCAAAATAATTACTGCTAAGATTATTTCTACAAAAGTATGCCCTTATCACAAATATGAATAGCCATACAAGATTATACGACATTTTGAAAACAAATGAAGAATTGAAGTAATTCTAAATTATAAAAATCCATTTTCTGCTACAGTGCCAATACAAATTAACTCTGTCATTATCTCTTACGTAGATCTACGTTAGTGATGTCAGTGTTGCTCATGTATATCTATGTTTTAAGCACAGTGCCCTCAAATATGCTGTGAACATTATATTTTTGCCTAGACATGAGAGAATGGGTCTGTGTGGAGTGTGCAAACAGTTTAAAATAATCCTGCCCAACCCAGTGCATGATGTGAAAACCAAACCTTTGACCTTGGGCTAAACTTAAAATGGTGACTTTGAAGTACTTTCTAGGATTTTTTTTATTGACTTATTCTTGGTATCAATTGATAGAAAGGAAAACATACTATTGAAAGAGACGATTTTAGTCAGTTTCGGGATTGGAAATAGCTTGAAATATGGCTCAAAGTGGCAGAATATTAAATTTTTGAAGGTTTTCATGAGGAAGGGTAAGGCCCCCATCTACCCCTCCAGTCTGTTTCATGGGTTCTACTAGATCAACTTCGATTACTGGGATGCTCTCGACCATGACCAATTATTCTTGGTTAAATATTATTAATCCAAGAAATAGGGAAAACTTTGTGTGATGATGGATTCAAATTAGAGGGCAATGGAGTATAGGAGAGGCCTGGAGACATGATTAATTTACAGGAGGATAATTTGCTTTATTGACAGGAATGCATACTGTGTTTATTTTGGAGTGTCTTTTAAAACTGGAATTTGTTGAATTGTGTAAAATTAGCGAAATTACCAATTTCTGTGCACTTTATAACTGAATGGGCAGTTTCTTGTGCTCATCTGATATAGCAGAAAACGTACTAGCAAAATAGTTAAGAATTTGGACAACTGAGTAATGTAACTGGATTAAAATAGGAATCAAGGGCAAAATCACTACTGTGTAAATGCACCTACACCACCAACTTGCATATGCAATTCCGTAAGTTTTCCATTATACAGAAGGGCCCCGATTTACGGCATTTAGCTAATACAGACATTGCAAATTATGACCAAGACTTGTTACATGGCTCCCACCCCCACCTGAATGCTAATATAGTTTGTGTGTGCCACTGTTTGTGTATAACCTCCACGAGCTCCACATCTCTCTATTACGTCTGGAAACTTTGAAAAATTTCAAGTGTTTTAAAGTTATTGTATATTTTATATGTAACCTGATAATTATACTTGTGTGTACCTGTACCTAAATAAACTTGCATACTGTGCTGGCATGCAGGTACACAGTAAAATCACTAAAAATGTCTCACTAGTCTTGAAGATGCCATATTAATAATGATAATAATAATACTAATACGTAATAACAATTGCTCTGGGGTGCATTAAATGTCATATATTTATTTTTTTTTTTCAATAAGTCGGCCGTCTCCCACCGAGGCAGGGTGACCCAAAAAAGAAAGAAAATCCCCAAAAAGAAAATACTTTCATCATCATTCAACACTTTCACCTCACTCACACATAATCACTGTTTTTGCAGAGGTGTTCAGAACACAACAGTTTAGAAGCATATACGTATAAAGATACACAACATATCCCTCCAAACTGCTAATATCCCGAAACCCCTCCTTTAGAGTGCAGGCATTGTACTTCCCATTTCCAGGACTCAAGTCCAGCTATATAAAAATAACTGGTTTCCCTGAATCCCTTCACTAAATACTACCCTGCTCACACTCCAACAGATCGTCAGGTCCCAAATACCATTCGTCTTTTATTTAATCTACTGCACTAACATGAAGACAACCTGTACACACTGTTTGTTTTGTGGGGCAAATGCTTCAACAATTCGTGCAAATGTACGTGCATGAACCAAAAGTAGACAGGTATTAATACACGTTTCGTCCGACTCCCCTTACACATTCATCTGCTTGTTTACATTCTCAGCATCTATCTCCTCTCTCTTTTTTTTTTTTAACAAGTCGGCCGTCTCCCACCGAGGCAGGGTGACACAAACAGAAAGAAAATCCCCAAAAAGAAAATACTTTCATCATCATTCAACACTTTCACCTCACTCACACAATCACTGTTAAAATATATTTTTTTTTTATAAAAATAATTTTAGTTTTTATTGTTTTTTAACCCTTTCAGGGTCCAAGGCCCAAATCTGGAGTCACGCACCAGTGTCCAAGAATTTTCAAAAAAAAAATTTGTTATTTTTTCTTATGAATTCGTAGAGAATCTTTTTGTGAAGGTAATAAAACAAAAAGTACGAAATTTGGTGGAAAATTGACGAAATTATGCTCTCGCAAATTTTGATGTGTCAGCGATATTTACGAATCGGCGATTTTGCCGACTTTGACTCCCATTTTAGGCCAATTACATTATTCCAATCAACCAAATTCTTAGCTATTTCACTAGTATTACTTCTATTCTATCGACTGAGCACAAGAAATCGCCAAGTCAACTGTTTCAACTACAAAATAAAGTGATCGGAAATTGTTAATTTGGCCAATTTAACACAAAGTTCAAAATATTCCAATTTCAAAATAGGGTCCAGAATGAACAATGTAGGCATTCCTGGCACTAAACTAACATTTCCTCTGTTCATTAGTTATGTTTTGAGGCTTTACAAATAAATTCCATTTTGATTTTTTATTCACATAATGAATTTTTATTCACACCAAAAAATAGAAGATTTACTGTTATGCAATACTGTAATAATTGTATAAATATCATCACCATATTTGTGAATGTATATTAGACCCACCAGCTGACGTGTATTAAACGTGTGAGGTCGTTTGTTTACTCTTGAATATCGGCAAAAATTTAACATTTCTGCTACTTTGAGCTCAGTTTCAAGCCATTTCCAGTGCTAAAACCAATCAAAATCATCTCTATTTCTGTAATATGTCTTCCATTCTATCAAATGAGACCAAGAAATCGCAAATACAACTATAAAAAACATACGAAAAAACACTGCAAAGTTGCTGTTTTAATCGAAAAATCATGATTTAATTTTTTTTCTCTCATTATACACAGTGTGCTGCAGGATCTGTTTTATGTGGTGCACACATACCACATAGATGTATTCTCTCATATCTAGGCCCAAATGTACCACTCACAGTTTATCAGAGTGAGCTGAGCTCATGGCGTAGATCTACGGTTTGGACCCTGAACATAAAGCCGTAGATCTACGGGACGGACCCTGAAAGGGTTAATGCCCAGTTCTAATATATGTTAGTGTAAACTTGTTATCCAGCATTTATATGCATTTAGTATAAGTGGTAAAAAGGGAGTTCTGTTTTACAGCTGTAGCCTGGAACCTAACCTGTTGTATAAGTGGGGCCCTACTCTATTTCATATTTTTTTGGCGTCATTAGCTTCAGAAAATGATTCTCTACTACAGGATTTTCGAAGAAAATGATTTTGTTTTAAATTTATAACACTGTCAGCACTCTTAATTTTTGTGGTTTGTGACAGTGAATGGGTTAAATGCAATTATATCTCTAGAAATTCTATAATAGTAATCTGATTATACCATTTCACTACCTAAATATTTGAGAGGTGTTTCACACTTATAAAACTTGAAAGTTCAACTCACTTACTTTAGGTATTTTGCATACTCCGGTTCTTTCCAGTACTGCAGATATTTCAGGTAGTTAATGAATGTCTGTTCCTTGAAGTACCCACGCTGGGCAAGAACTGAGAATATAAATTGTATAGTTAGTACATTACTGTACATAAAAAAATGAAGAAAATTTTCTTTTTAGCACACCAGCTCTCCTCTCCCACTGATATAAGGTGACCCCCCAAAGTAGAAAACACATTCAATTTCATTCATGGAATCACTGCCTTGCCAGAAGTGTAACAGTAGCAGCCGTGACATTTATAGAGCATTTTGACCACTTTGCCATAAGTGTGCTGACACCACAATGCAGATGACTTTCAAACAACATCATCCTCACCCTTCCTTCAGAGTGCAGACACTGTACTTCCCACTTCCAGGAACCAAGTCCAACTAATTGGTTTCCCTGAATGCTTTTAAGTACCGGTCAGACATAGCAACACAATGGTATCTTGGTACAGAGGACATCTTCCACAACTTCATTGCTTAACTACTAGTTATGATTGAGAAGGGTTGCATTCCAGAGGAACCTGCTTAGCATGGACCAGCAGGCTTGCTGGTCCATGCTGTAGTACTCCTTAATTCTTGCCTTCTTGCTCCTACTAGTGAACCCTGCCTCCAGTAATGTCCGAGATCTTCTACATCTCACTTTCGACAGTATTTAAGATTCCATTCTCATACTTCAGCTTGGTTTTATTCCAGACCATAGAGCTGAACTCTTCTCCAGGATCTCAGCCTGCTCCAAAGTTGATGGACTACTCTATTCTACAGCCACTACTCCTGCTGCCTACAATCCATTCTCCTCTATCTGACTGAAGAAGCCTACCACATAGGCTAAACGTTTCAACAATAAAGAGACCCAACTGTTGCACATGTTTTCCTTGTCAGCTTGTTGGTATTATATACTATTTTCATCATATGTATGTATTTAATTTCTTCAAAGATTCCTTAATGCTAGTGAAGGGCTCTTGAGCCAAGGAATTATAGCTGCCCCCCCTTCTTTGGATCAAACCTGATTGCTTCTCATTTCCCAGGTACTGTATAATCCTTGGACATCAAGTAGGTGTGTGTGTGAGCATGTTAGGAGAGGGGGTAAATGGTTTTTATGACTTGAGGTGCTATTGGAGTGTGAGCAAGGTAACATTTATGAAGGGCTTCAGGGGAACCAGTTAGCTGGATTTGAGTCCTAGAGGTGGGAAGTACAGTGCCTGCAGTTTGAAGGTGTGGGAATCTTTGTAGTTTGGAGGGTAATCTGAACTGCAGTATCAATATGCCTCTAGCAAGACAGTGATAGAGTGATGGTGAAAGTGTTTCTTCTTTATAGGGTTATCCTACCTCTGTGGGAGATGGCCGGTGTGTTTAATAATAATAATATTAACAATAATAATAATAATGAAGAACGAGACACTTGTGCAATATTTGGGAATTTAAACTGTGGAATGTTTTGCCAGCTAATGGCTTCTTCAGTCCATACAGAGAAAAAGTGGAAGATGAAGAGGAGTTTGAGGTACCTTTACCTTTGATATATCTCTGAAGAATTTCAAGTGTTTAACTACTCTCGGAGCCTGGCCATGGGCCAGGCTCATCTGTTGCTTGCTGGATCAACCAGGCTGCTGCTGCTGGAGGCCCGCTGCCCCACACATCCGTCACAGCCTGGTTGATCTGGCACCTGGTGAAGATACTTGTCCAGTTTCCTCTTGAAGGCTTCTACACGTTCCAGTCCCTCAGCCTGGAGTCAATGGAGACTGATTACTTCGCCCATCATTTTCCACTGTTCTTCTCTGTATCGGACTGAAGAAGCCACTAGCTGGCAAAACATTTCCACAATAAAGATCCCCAATATTACACAAGTATCTCATTCTTCAGCTTGTTGGTTTTTCCCAACCATTCACATCAATAATAATACTGTAAAAGTAGGCCTTAGACAAGGATGTGTGACGTGGATGTTTTGGGTCACCCTACCTTGGTGGAAGATGGCAGGTGCAACTTAAAAAACTGATGCCTTAATTGCACAAGGGCCCTTTTTGTCTTATTGTTAAAAGGAGGGAGAAAGCAGATATAAAATCAAGTAAAATTTTACATAAATACTTCAACTGCTTCAAAGTGCTAACAATTCTGAGCTGCACCTGATATATTTACTAATGAATGTATACAAGGTTTTTGCTTTATAATAGAAAGTTTTCACTTGTGTCAAAGTGATAAACAAGTGTGTAAGGAATGACTCAAAAAGTATACTACTGTACAAAGCAGTAGGGTCACATTATTATATTCATGGTGAAGCACTAAACCCATAGGGGATATAAAGCAACTAAAGAATGAATAGTAAATATGCTTGATTCAAGGAGGGGATGGCAGATATAATTCCTTGGATCAAGAGTACTTCATGTGCATCAAGGTAAAACCATGAGGGGAAGAAACGGTACAGTTTAGAAAACAGAAGAATGCAAAGCAATGCACTACTTTAATTGTGTGAAGCACTAAACCTGTGTTGGTCATCCAGTGCAACAGTGGATGTTCAGTCTTTTGTCTGCTTAACATGAGACATACGTTACCATATGGTATACTTCTCTCTCTCTCAACACACCGGCCGTATCCCACCGAGGCAGAGTGGCCCAAAAGGAAAAAAGAAAGTTTCTCCTTTTACATTTAGTAATATATACAGAAGAAGGGGTTACTAGCCCCTTGCTCCCGGCATTTTAGTCGCCTCTTACAACACGCATGGCTTACAGAGGAAGAATTCTGTTCCACTTCCCCATGGAGATAAGAGGAAATACACAAGAACAAGAACTAGAAAGAAAATAGAAGAAAACCCAGAGGGGTGTGTATATATGTGCTTGTACATGTATGTGTAGTGTGACCTAAGTGTAAGTAGAAGTAGCAAGACGTACCTGAAATCTTGCATGTTCACGAGACAGAAAAAAGGACACCAGCAATCCTACCATCATGTAAAACAATTACAGGCTTTCGTGTTACACTCACTTGGCAGGACGGTAGTACCTCCCTGAACAGTTGCTGTCTACCAACCTACTACCTATAATGGTATACACTTATCTACCTAATAAAAAACATATTAAGCGTAAGAAATCATTTAAGAAATTGTAGGACTGTTTGATACAGTATAGTACTAACAACTTAGGTGTGGCAGCATTAATATCATTAACAACCTGGAAAATACAGTATGAGAATAAAATTACTGCACAAACATGGCATGCTAGGAGACTAACAAACTGCTAAGAATTGTTAATGTTCTGATCATTAGCAAATTTTGGCACAAGTCCAAAATTAGGGTGGCAAATCTAAAAATTTAAAGTGCAAGTTAACCCTTTCAGGGTTTCTGACGTACTAGTACGGCTTAGGCACCAGGGTTTTTGACGTACTAGTACACATAAATTCTAGCGCCCTCAAATCTAGTGAGAGAAAGCTGGTAGGCATACATATGAAAGAATGGGTCTATGTGGTCAGTGTGCGCAGTATAAAAAAAATCCTGCAGTACACAGTGCGTAATGAGGAAAAAAAAAAAACTTTGACAGTGTTTTTGATTTAAAACAGCGACTTCGCACTGTATTTTCGTATGGTATTTATGACGGTATTCTAGTTTTCCTGGTCTCATTTTATAGAATGGAAGACGTATTACAGAAATTGAGATGATTTTGATTGGTTTTACAATGAAAAGTACCTTGAAATTGAGCTCAAAGTAGCAGAAATCTTCGATTTTTGCCAAAGTTCAAAAGTTAACAAATCATGCTATGCATCCAATACACATCAACTGACGAGTCTAATATTCTTTCACAAGTGCACTGATATTATTTATACCATTTCTACACTAATGCAGTAGTCTGCATAACAGTAAATCTTCTATTTTTTGTGAGAATAAAAATTCAAAGTGGAAAATAAAAGAATGTAAGAGGGGATTGGGGACATGACTAATGAACAGAGGAAATGTTATTTTAGTGCCAGGAATGTCTTTCTTGTTTATTCTGGACCCTATTTGGAAATTGGCATCTTTTGAAATTTGTGTGAAATTGGCAAAATTGCTAAATTCTGACCACTTTATTGGATAGTTGAAATCAGTAAATGGGTGGTTTCTTGTACTCATTTGATAGAAAAATGGAGTTCTAGCGAAATAGTTGATTTTTGTCGACTAGTACACTGGAATTGGCCGAAAATAGGGCTCAAAGTGGGCAAAATCGCCGATGTGTAAACATCGTCGAGACCGCTAACTTCGCGAGAGCATAATTCCATAAGTTTTCCATCAAATTTCATATTTTTAGTGTCATTATGATCGGGAAAAGATTCTCTATCTTTTCACAAGAAAAATAATTTTTTTTTTTTAAATTTGGTGACCCTGAGAACAAGTCTGGGAGAGGGTCTGTCAACCCTGAAAGGGTTAAAAATGGGATTATAATTCCACATATTACTCAGTAAGTAGCAAGTCAAGAATTTCAAATTCAGTTTTTCATATCAGTAGATTTTTTTTTTTAACATGTCAGCCGTTTCCCACCGAGGCAGGGTGATTAAAAAACCTTTCATCATCATTCAGCATTTTCACCACCATTCATACCAAATCACTGTCTTACATAAGAACATAAGAAAGGAGGAACACTGCATGAGGCCTGCTGGCCCATACTAGGCAGGTCCTTTACAATTCATCCCACTAACAAAACATTTGCCCAACCCAATTTTCAATGCCACCCAAGAAATAAGCTCTGATGTGAAAGTCCCACTCAAATCCAACCCCTCCCACTCATGTACTTATCCAACCTAGATTTGAAACTACCCAAAGTCCCAGCCTCAATAACCCAACTAGGTAGACTGTTCCACTCATCAACTACCCTATTTCCAAACCAATACTTTCCTATGTCCTTTCTAAATCTAAACTTATCTAATTTAAATCCATTACTGCGGGTTCTCTCTTGGAGAGACATCCTCAAGACCTTATTAATATCCCCTTTATTAATACCTATCTTCCACTTATACATTTCGATCAGGTCTCCCCTCATTCTTCGTCTAACAAGTGAATGTAACTTAAGAGGCTTCAATCTTTCTTCATAAGGAAGATTTCTAATGCTATGTATTAATTTAGTCATCCTACGCTGAATGTTTTCTAACGAATTTATGTCCATTTTGTAATACGGAGACCAGAACTGAGCTGCATAATCTAGGTGAGGCCTTACTAATGATGTATAAAGCTGCAGTATGACCTCTGGACTTCTGTTGCTTACACTTCTTGATATAAATCCCAGTAATCTATTTGCCTTATTACGTACGCTTAGGCATTGCTGTCTTGGTTTAAGGTTGCTGCTCACCATAACCCCCAAGTCCGTTTCGCAATCTGTATGGCTAAGTTCTACATCATTTAACTCATAAGTACTAGGGTTATGGGCACTCCCAAGCTTCAGAACCTTGCATTTATCTACATTGAACTGCATCTGCCACTTTTCTGACCAAGAATAGAGTTTGTTTAAATCCTCCTGAAGTTCCATAACATCTACGTTTGAATCAATTATCCTACCTATCTTTGTGTCATCGGCGAATTTGCTCATATCACTAGTAATTCCCTCATCAAGATCATTGGTATATATTATAAACAACAACGGGCCCAAGACTGATCCCTGTGGAACGCCACTTGTTACAGATCCCCACTCGGATTTAACCCCATTTATGGACACTCTCTGCTTCCTGTCAGTGAGCCATGACTCGATCCACGAGAGCACTTTTCCCCAATGCCATGAGCTGCCACTTTCTTTAACAGTCTATGGTGCGGAACTCTATCAAAAGCCTTACTAAAATCTAAGTAAATAATATCAAATTCTTTATTGTGGTCAACAGCCTCAAAAGCTTTACTGAAGAAAGTTAATAAATTAGTTAGACAAGACCGGCCTCTTGTGAATCCATGCTGAGTATCATTAATCAAGCTATGCTTATCGAGATGGCTTCTTATAATCTCAGCTATAATTGACTCTAGTAATTTGCCTACAATTGAGGTCAGGCTTATTGGGCGGTAATTTGACGGTAACGACTTGTCCCCCGTTTTAAAAATAGGAGTTACATTAGCCATCTTCCACATATCAGACACTACACCTGTTTGAAGAGATAAATTAAAAATATTAGTTAATGGTTCACAGAGTTCCATTTTGCATTCCTTAAGAACCCTTGAAAAAACCTCATCAGGACCCGGCGACTTATTTTGCTTCAGTCTGTCTATCTGCTTCACAACCTAGTGACTGATGTTACATAATTTATCTTCTTCTAGCCCACTATAAAAATTAATTACTGGAATATTGTTAGTGTCTTCCTGTGTAAAAACTGAGAGAAAATAATTATTTAAAATCAAGCACATTTCATTCTCTTTGTCAGTAAGGTGCCCATAGTTATTTTTAAGGGGACCTATCTTATCTCTAACTTTTGTTCTATAGACCTGGGAAAAACTTTTTGGGTTAGTTTTAGAATCCCTAGCAACTTTAGTTTCTTTGCAGAGGTGTTCAGATATGACAGTTTAGATTCACTCAATAAAGCTAATATCCCAAACCCCTCCTTTAACCCTTAAACGGTCCAAACAGATCGACGTTCAAATTCGTAGTGCTACGAAAGTAGATCTACTTTTTTTACATATTTTTAAATATAACAACAAAAAAATGTAGATAAAAGTTTTTTACACGTTTTCAAATGTAAAACAAAAAAGAAGATCTACATTTTTTTACATACTTTCAGATGTTGAAAAAACATATATATACGTTTGGACCATTTAAGGGTTAAAGTGCAGGCAATGTACTTCCCACCTCCATGACTCAAGTTCAGCTAACTGGTTTCCCTGAATCCCTCCCCAAAATATTAACCTGTTCATACTCCAATATACTGAAGTGAGAGATATGGAAATGTAAAATAAACTCACTGAAAAAGGAGGGGCATCACAGGCACAGAGAGAGAGATAATGAGAGAGAGAATGAGAAAGAATGAGAATGAGAGAGAGAATGAGAGAAAATGAGAGAGAATGAGAGAGAATGAGAGAAAATGAGAGAGAGAATGAGAATGAGAGAGAATGAGAGAAAATGAGAGAGAGAGAATGAGAGAGAGAATGAGAATGAGAGAGAATGAGAGAAAATGAGAGAGAGAGAATGAGAGAGAGAGAAGAGAGAGAGAGAGAATGAGAGAGAGAATGAGAGAGAGAGAGAATGAAAATGAATGAATGAATTCATGGCCCAAGATTTTTCAACCACTGAGTGCCAAATCAACCAGGCTATGATGGCTATGTGGGCCAGTGTGCTACTAACAAACATCTTGATTAAAAAAAATCAACAAGGAAGTTTGGTCTAAGACTAGGCTGTGAAATAATCACATGATGAATAATGAAAAACAATCACATGATGAAAAATGGCTCTGCATTTGTCAGCTAAATACACTTACACAATAAGTAGTTGGGGTTAGCCAGACACTGGACAAACTCCAGCTCTATCTGGAACCTCAAGCGCTGTGCATCCTCACTTTCACCTGTAAAGGAAAAATATGTTATATTTGTTTGCAAGTGACAGTACTTCACATAATGAATAAATTAACAAATATTGAAAGTAATATAAACAGAATATTTAGTACCACTGACAATGAAGAGTTACAATTTATGTAACAAAACTCCTCCTTTAGCAGATAGCCCAAAACTTCTTAAGACATTATTTTTATTTGAAATATTAGGTTCACTTGAAAGTTAAATAAAGTAAATTGCCCTAAATTGTAATTTATAAGAGAAGTTTGATAATTAAAAATATGATTTTTTCTATGCTGCTAGTTTTGACAGTTTTATAACTATTTTCTTTAGTCACTATGTAGAAAAAATATTTAATTAAACTACATATATGCAATGCAAAAACAGTAAAGTCAGTTTCATATGAATATAGGAATCTGTGCTTCTTTGAAGCTGAATTGCTAAAATGATGCAAGAAAAACATGGCAAAATGTTCTTAGCAATCAGAGGAAAACAAATTCCAAAATACAATATCAACATAACAGTTCTTATCACATCTGGTCATGCAGCGAGTGTCAGAGTGGTGCATGTAAATGTACGAGTATTAAAATTACGAGACTACTTTTTGTCAAATAAGTTACTGGGTGGCAACAGATGGCATTGTATGTAGTGCTTGCTCACTTATATTGTTTACACTGTATTTTGTGTGATTCTTAGCATATTTTGCTAGCAATTACCCTTAGCTATGGCTCGGGTTAATATCTACATAAGAAACTTGTCATTAGCTATGGCTATTGGCAAGTTAATCAAGTTACAAGGAGAATTAATCAAAGGGCTGGAATAACATTTCTTTGTGAGATGTCCTCCCTGTAACATCAGATTCATTATGAAGCAGTCAACTACAATCCTGGCAATGCTGAACTTTTGTGATTACCTCTGCAGCTCCAGTAAAAATTCTAAAATTATCCACTTAGGAGTGATACCACTGCAAAGCAAACCCGTTTCATTTATGCTAATGTTTAACCCTTAAACATTATTACACAAGTGCTGTGTCCAGTGTACTAATACGCACAATTTTTTGTACCTTCAAATCTGCCATGTACCAATATTTTTGACGTTAGCACAACTATTCAGGTCATCTTCAATCTATTTATACATTTAAAAAAATCAAAGGCCAGGAGGGTGCACACAGTGTCATGGTTAATTACACAAGTGATGACTATGTGTCTGACGTACTAGTATGCCTAACTAGCAAATGTAAACCAATGAAACCAGGAGCTGTTGTTCCTCCACCAACTTCCTTACTAGCAAACAGGGTGTTGAAGTGGCATGAGGAAGGCTTTGTCATTCCAAATTTATTATAACTTTGTGATGCTAACTATGGAATTCAACCACAAGGCCCACTTAATACATATATTTAACCAGGTAAAAATCAAACACTGACTTAATTCTATATTTTGAGTATTATTCTGAAGCAATTGAAAAATGTAAGTATGTATTCCTCATACATAGTGCTAGAAGACCAAACTAGTAAATTAAATACACATTCCAAGTGGAGTAATATTGGAATAAGTATTTCCTCATGTATGAAGTCCTAAAATACCATTAACATTTGTTCCAGGGTTCTAGAAAAGATTATGTTGCAAAGACACCAACAGAGGGGATGTTATGGTAGTAAATTGTAATATCAAAGATGGAGCCCAGCCCATCACAGTCTGCCTGCTGCTTAGGTCGGGATGTAACTGAGTAGGCCTGCAACCTAGGCGTTCAGTTATAATAATATCTTTATTTCTACATGTACAAGGTATACAGGCCTAGCTGACATCAATGATATACTACTATATAGACAGCCGCTTGTTATGCAGAGCATTTCAGGCAAATTACGTCAGTTTTGTCCCCGGATGCGACCCACACTGGTCTACTAACACCCGGGTACCCATTTTACTAATGGGTGAACATGGACATCCGGTGTAAGGAAACATGCCCGGTGTTTCTACCCTCGCTGGGAATTGAACCCAGACTCTCACCATGTGAAGCGAGAGCTTTAGCCACCAGGCCACAGGGCGCTGTAAGTTCAAAAGGGAAGTCATGTGCCCCTAGTGTGGACAAAGGATGGTGCATATAAGGTACTGGCACATAATATATACCACACAAGTATTGCACCACTGACAATAAACATATCTAATATCATAAGAAATTAGTGTAAATTGTGTTAAACATTAAAAGCAATTAAAAACAGAAAAACAATCATATCTTGGCATTAATAAATTGTAAATATTGCTGATGCATTTACATTGCTGTTGCTGCTGGGTGATCATTTTTTAACACCTTCAACACACCATAAAATCATAAGTATTTATCAGATTCCGCTTGATTTAGTAACTTAATTCAGAAAAATACACTTTCATTCTATATGAACTTTTTTTTCAAAATCTTCCCCTTCCACACAGGAACTTTTATTTGGGGTATGCCACAGTTTAAGGGTTAATTAAAGTTTCCAAGAGACCATGGTGGGTTAAAGGAGTAGTGATGAATTATTATTACAAGACCTCTGTTGGCCTGGCAAAATTGATATACCGGCAAAGCCTAGGAACCAAGCGTGCTGGAACATCGGTGTTGTACCTGTGTGTGTAAGTGAGCCACAGCCAGGAGCTATGTCTCAACCCCTGCAACCACATATAGGCAAGTGCTTTGCACCATGCGCCTAAGCCTGGTGCTGCTTCCTGGCGGGCGTAGTTCAAACCTAGAGCCAGGTCCACGAGTGTGTGTTTCATTCTCACTCACTCAGCAAACCTACCATCAGCAGGACATCCCCTCCCCCCCTCCAACTCTCTCACTAGGTCTTGACCTGGAATGGGCTAGCAACCAACACATTCCCTCCAAAGATTATTATTATTATAACCTTTCAGATATAAAAATGTTTAACATCTGGTACCAAAAAATGTTTTAATATCCAGGTATAAAAAAAGTTTACTATCCAGGTATCAAAAAAATGTTTACTGTCTGAGTATCAAAAAATGTTAATATCCATGTATCAAAAATGTTTAATATAAAATTTTTTTAATATCCAAATATTAAAAATGCTTAATACATATAAAGCTATTAAATACACTTAACATATGGTATTAAATATGTTTAATATACAGATATTAAATATGTTTAATATACATGTTTATAGAGGGGCAACTGATATATCGGATTATTATTTAGTTGTAGCTACAGTTAGAGTAAGAGGTAGATGGGAAAAGAGGAAGGTGGCAACAACAAGTAAGAGGGAGGTGAAAGTGTATAAACTCAGGGAGGAGGAAGTTCGGGTGAGATATAAGCGACTATTGGCAGAAAGGTGGGCTAGTGCAAAGATGAGTAGTGGGGGGGTTGAAGAGGGTTGGAATAGTTTTAAAAATGCAATATTAGAATGTGGGGCAGAAGTTTGTGGTTATAGGAGGGTGGGGGCAGGAGGAAAGAGGAGTGATTGGTGGAATGATGAAGTAAAGGGTGTGATAAAAGAGAAAAAGGTAGCTTATGAGAGGTTTTTACAAAGCAGAAGTGTTATAAGAAGAGCAGAGTATATGGAGAGTAAAAGAAAGGTAAAGAGAGTGCAAAAGGAGAGCAGATGATAGAGTGGGAGAGGCACTGTCAAGAAATTTTAATGAAAATAAGAAAAATTTTTGGAGTGAGTTAAACAAGTTAAGAAAGCCTAGGGAAAGTATGGATTTGTCAGTTAAAAACAGAATAGGGGAGTTAGTAGATGGGGAGATGGAGGTATTAGGTAGATGGCGAGAATATTTTGAGGAACTTTTAAATGTTAAGGAAGAAACAGAGGCAGTAATTTCATGCACTGGTCAGGGAGGTATACCATCTTTTAGGAGTGAAGAAGAGCAGAATGTAAGTGTGGGGGAGGTATGCGAGGCATTACGTAAAATGAAAGGGGGTAAAGCAGCTGGAACTGATGGGATCATGACAGAAATGTTAAAAGCAGGGGGGATATAGTGTTGGAGTGGTTGGTACTTTTGTTTAATAAATGTATGAAAGAGGGGAAGGTACCTAGAGATTGGCAGAGAGCATGTATAGTCCCTTTATATAAAGGGAAAGGGGACAAAAGAGACTGTAAAAATTATAGAGGAATAAGTTTACTGAGTATACCAGGAAAAGTGTATGGTAGGGTTATAATTGAAAGAATTAGAGGTAAGACAGAATGTAGGATTGCGGATGAGCAAGAAGGTTTCAGAGTGGGTAGGGGATGTGTAGATCAAGTGTTTACATTGAAGCATATATGTGAACAGTATTTAGATAAAGGTAGGGAAGTTTTTATTGCATTTATGGATTTAGAATAGGCATATGATAGAGTGGATAGAGGAGCAATGTGGCAGATGTTGCAAGTATATGGAATAGGTGGTAAGTTATTAAATGCTGTAAAGAGTTTTTATGAGGATAGTGAGGCTCAGGTTAGGGTGTGTAGAAGAGAGGGAGACTACTTCCCGGTAAAAGTAGGTCTTAGACAGGGATGTGTAATGTCACCATGGCTGTTTAATATATTTATAGATGGGGTTGTAAAGGAAGTAAATGCTAGGGTGTTCGGGAGAGGGGTGGGATTAAATTTTGGGGAATCAAATTCAAAATGGGAATTGACACATTTACTTTTTGCTGATGATACTGTGCTTATGGGAGATTCTAAAGAAAAATTGCAAAGGTTAGTGGATGAGTTTGGGAATGTGTGTAAAGGTAGAAAGTTGAAAGTGAACATAGAAAAGAGTAAGGTGATGAGGGTGTCAAATGATTTAGATAAAGAAAAATTGGATATCAAATTGGGGAGGAGGAGTATGGAAGAAGTGAATGTTTTCAGATACTTGGGAGTTGATGTGTCGGCGCATGGATTTATGAAGGATGAGGTTAATCATAGAATTGATGAGGGAAAAAAGGTGAGTGGTGCGTTGAGGTATATGTGGAGTCAAAAAATGTTATCTATGGAGGCAAAGAAGGGAATGTATGAAAGTATAGTAGTTCCAACACTCTTATATGAGTGTGAAGCTTGGGTGGTAAATGCAGCAGCGAGGAGACAGTTGGAGGCAGTGGAGATGTCCTGTTTAAGGGCAATGTGTGGTGTAAATACATGTATTATGCAGAAAATTCGGAGTGTGGAAATTAGGAAAAGGTGTGGAGTTAATAAAAGTATTAGTCAGAGGGCAGAAGAGGGGTTGTTGAGGTGGTTTGGTCATTTAGAGAGAATGGATCAAAGTAGAATGACATGGAAAGCATATAAATCTATAGGGGAAGGAAGGCGGGGTAGGGGTCGTCCTCAAAAGGGTTGGAGAGAGGGGGTAAAGGAGGTTTTGTGGGCAAGGGGCTTGGACTTCCAGCAAGCGTGCATGAACGTGTTAGATAGGAGTGAATGGAGACGAATGGTACTTGGGACCTGACGATCTGTTGGAGTGTGAGCAGGGTAATATTTAGTGAAGGGATTCAGGGAAACCGGTTATTTTCATATAGTCGGACTTGAGTCCTGGAAATGGGAAGTACAATGCCTGCACTTTAAAGGAGGGGTTTGGGATATTGGCAGTTTGGAGGGATATGTTGTGTATCTTTATATGTGTATGCTTCTAAACTGTTGTATTCTGAGCACCTCTGCAAAAACAGTGATAATGTGCGAGTGTGGTGAAAGTGTTGAATGATGATGAAAGTATTTTCTTTTTGGGGATTTTCTTTCTTTTTTGGGTCACCCTGCCTTGGTGGGAGACGGCCGACTTGTTGAAAAAAAAAAAAATACAGATATTAAATATGTTTAATATCTGGGTATTAAAAATGCTTATTACCCAGGTATTAAAAATACACACATATATATTTATAGTTTTCCTGCATTGGAATTTCATGACAACTCTGAAGTTTTATTTTTGCATGCACTGAGGTAGAGGAATCTGGGCTTATGAGATATGGGGATACCTTTCTCCGATCACAGTAACCAAAATACACCTAGATATTATAAGAATAATATTCATGGAGGACCATTAAACCCGTAAGGGTTATACAGCGCCTGGGAGAGTGGGAGGCAATAAGGTTCTTGCCAAGGAAGGGAAGGCCAGGTCCAATTCCTTGGATCAAGAGTCCCTTGCCAGCATCAAGGAATCTCTCATGAGAGGAGATTTGTAGATAGCAAACATCCAGGAAGATACTATCACATGAGTGTGAAACAGAAGTCTGTTAAGTGTTTGCACTTTGGTAGCATTACTAGTCTTTGAATTATGCAAGATGACAGGGAAATCTTATAAACTAACTTACATTCAGTAATAGATCTTATTCCTGTAATATTTCCATTCCAATTTAGGAGGCCTGGTCTGAGACCAGGCCATGGTTGGGCGATGATTTCTGGAACCATTAACAGATAATAGAATTAGTGTCATTATTATATTAAATACAGTTATATTTATATTGTACTGCCCAATTTTACACATTAGAGTATTACCATCTTTACTCCGAAAATTGTATAAGATTAACATTTTCCTGTATTAGCTTTAATTCAGCCTGAAATGCTGTGTATACTATGAGCTTTGCATTACGGTAGTACGTACATTACTGTACTCATCAAACTGTAATATTTTAAAAAAATCATACCCAATGTGTACTGTTCCAACTGAAAACACTTTACTATAAATAAATTGTAAAAGACAATAAAAAAAAAGCTATTAGCTCAGAAGGTCAGGACATCAAAATGGCCCGAGCACAAATAGAACTCCACGCCGACAGCAATAAAGGTGCTAGCACTGGTGTCTGGATCTTCTCAAGCCTTCATGAAGTGTAAGAAAGATTCATTAATAATTGAGAAAAAAAGTTTAATTAATTATGGCACAGGACAAAGGAGTAAATGTAACGTATGATGAAGTATGACGTTGATAAAGCAAGTGTATGATTTAAAGGAACAGAAAGCCAAAGGTTAAGAATTACAAAAATGACTTGGTAGATGTTGAATGCATTAACTTGTGGGGGGCCTGCATGCCAAGATGTTAACAACATTTCATATGAATGATTTTACCAGCAGCATATGGAAAGTATTCCCTTGAAAAAATATCAATTGACCTAACTTAATATTTAAAGTTTAAACACTTGTCCAACATCTGGTTATTTTTATTGTAGACGTTTCGCCATTCAGTGGCTTTATCAATACAGATTCTTGGTCATAATTAGAAAGCAGAAGAACTATATACAACCACGGTGCTCTAAACACTACCTCTAAGGCTGAGGGACTGATTACCTCATCTTTTGTATCTAGTTCTTCTGTTTTCTAATTATGTACAAGAATCTGTATTGATAAAGCCACTGAATGGCGAAACGTCTACAGTAAAGATAACCAGATGTTGCACAAGTGTCTTAACTTACAACTTGTCAGTATTGTATACCTGTCTTGTCTAACTTAATATTCAAAACAATGATGATTATACTGTACATGGGTGGATGCACAAATTAAAGACTACATGATATTCATCTTGTAAAATTGGCAGAAGAAAGAGCTTATTCAGATGTTAGTATTACTAAATATTTAAATGAATCTACTCTGGTAAGGGAACACTATTCAACCTATGATGAACATAATGATGAGACAAGATTACCTTGGACAGGTATGATATTTTCTTGTTCGTTGCAACTAGAATGCAATATATGATTTTAAAGAATCTACAGAAAAAATTTAACTATCTTGACCTGAATATACAACTATATTCTGACCTGTGCTAAAGCAGGTAGCATACCCTTGTAAATTTTTAATCACGGTGCCCCATGGCCTGGTGGCTAAAGCTCTTGCTTCACACGTCGAGGGTAGAAATACTGGGTTGTCTATGTTCCCCATCAGTAAAATGGGTACCTGGGAGTTAGTCGACTGGTGTGGGTTGCCTCCTGGGATAAAACTGACCTAATTTGCTCGAAATGCTCTGCATAACAAGCGGCTTTCTATATAGTAGTACGTCATTGATGTCAGCTAGGCCTGTATACCTTGCACATGTATTTGTAGAAATAAAGATATTATTATTATTATTATTTGTAATTACAATGTGCCTATTTGTAGCTACAGGAGCAGAGCTATGCTCATGGTGTCCTGCCTCAGAGGTTCATCACAGTAAAGGTGCTTAAAATATAAAATTGAATACAGTAATACCTATGGAGGTTATATATATGTCTAGACGAGAGACACAGTATGGGCCCCCGATGGAAATAAGGGATTATAGATTTTTTTTTTTTTAACAAGTCGGCCGTCTCCCACCAAGGCAGGGTGACCCAAAAAAGAAAATCCACAAAAAGAAAATACTTTCATCATCATTCAACACTTTCACCTCACACATAATCACTGTTTTTGCAGAGGTGCTCAGAATTATAGGTTAAGTCATCATAACATGTCAATTACGTATGTCTGCTGTAATTGCTTTACATGGCTGCTGCTTGTCGGATTTCAGTCATTAATTATGGTTTGAATTTTACAGTATTAAGCTTGTTCTGTAGCGGGGATATTTTGTAGTACAAATGGTAAAAATGCAATCCAGCATAACAAAATTAATCTAATCCAACATAAACTAACCTAGCATAACACCCTTACTCTGCCACTGTTACTGATGAAATTGTTTACTTTTGGCCAGGTACACGATGTGACTCAATATTAAACTCTGACCGACCCAGACATGCTGCGCAACCTGAATTAGTGGTATTATTTTCACTAATATCTCCTAAAATAACAACTTGCACAAGTATTACTTACTCATTCCCTGGTGTACACTGGTTGTATGTAGTGTAAAATGTAAAGTAATGCCTGAGTTCTGACGAGTAGTTGTTGTTAACTATAGCCTTTTTTTTTTTTTTTTTTGCAAGAAGTAATATACAAACCTGAATAACATTCTGTACTACTGACAGGAAGAAATAAATCCTTTGTGAACCTAAAGTATATGAAAACATCAATCAAGGAATATAACCCTATTAGGTTGTAAATCATGCTTACACCACAAGCCATAAGACTGCAGCAAACTCATGCTCATACCATAAGACAAATAAGTGAAGCAAACATGCTTATACAATCCTCAAGCAATCTATAAAATTGTTGGGGCATGAAAATTGTCACTTTTTTTTACTGTCTGCCTAAACAATCAGTGGATTTTCCAAGAATTCTCTTAAAAGCTAAAATATCTGGAATATATGTGAAAGATGACTTGAAAGTGAAATATGTTTCTTAAAATAAGCCTCAGGTCTTACACTAAGCTTTTAAAGACAAAACGTCCGGAGGACCCTAGCCAACCCACCTTCGTTGACTCCATGGTAAGAGTATGACGATTTTCTGCTCATTCTAGGCATTGGAGCGAGTTAAAAGGGTTAGTCTACACCACTAATGAGTGAGCAGGCACACGGTGTCAAGGATGAAAGTCACTACCACAGAGTGTGTGAGGTAGCTCCGTCTTGCACTTCTCTGTTCAGTCTCGGTGTAAACAACTTACCCCGGCCGGCCATGAATCCACATTTGCAGTCTTGCGCATTTTGATGATATATTTACATTTACACAACCTTCCACTCTCCTCCTAACTACCAGCTTTAATAAGATCAAATGTGAAAAAGTCTAAGTGTGAAGTTACTTGGGAAAAAAATCAAACTATTAAAGGTTAAATAATAAGATATATTATCATGGTACAGTTTTCTTACCTGACGCTGTAGGACGGAGCCAAGAGGGAAGAATCTGATTGTCTTTGGGACATCATAAACCGAATTGAGGCGACCCAATGTTGGTACCGTATTCGTTTCTCGGACTAATTACCTGTTTTGTCTGAATTGCAGTACCTTTGCTGTGCTAGCACTCACATGAATTGCAATACCTTTACTGTGCTTGCACTCATATGTGACATTCCTGGGTACACAAGGTTATTTTTCTTTGCAGGACACTTAACTAGTCGTGGAGGTGGTGGTTAGCAGGTTACAGATGGGTTGTACTTGTATTAACATCCAGCACTTACATTCAGAACACAGGAAGGACTTGTGTGGCATGCAACACGACGGTCACCTTAGTGCACTGCTCAAAATACGACGCCTTTCGCAGGAGTCTTCGGTTATATGCGAGGCCAAAAGGATAGGATGATTGATCTTGGCGGATAATTTTCCTATGAACTTGGTGTGGACTTCGACGCAGTGTGTGGGAGTTTTTCTAGAGACAATGGTGCTTGGGGCAATTTTTCTTCCTGTAAGTTTACGTCGATTTACGTGCAGGCAGCAGTAACGAAAGCATTCATCACAACAGCCTGGTTGATCAGACTAATCCACCACGAGGCCTGGTCTCAGACAGGACCGCGCGCTGATCCCCTCTTGGGGAGGGTCGATGGTGCTCCTGCAAGCAGCAGTTCCTGGCGCAACCTGTTGCTATTTGCAATGGCTGTCCTGCCGAGGAGGGACAGGCACCTAGCAACGTCTGTTGGCAATGGATGAATTCCCTACAATGTTTGTTAACTGTGATCATTACTCTGAAAATTGTTCAAGATTGTAATTATGTGTTCACGATTCATTACCTTTGAAACTTGTCATGATTGTAACCAGCTCTACCTGGAGCTCATTACCTTTGTCAAATCTCATTATTGTAATCAGATCTATTTCATTACCTTTGTAATTAGTCATGAGCGTGACCAGCTCTACCTGGAGCTCATCACCTTTGTACTTGGTCACGATTGTGACCAGATCTAGTTCATTACCTTTGTAACTTGCTCAGCTATCAAAACTTTGGAGTCCAGTCCCTGGACCAATTATGTACCTCTGAAATCTTTTGACTACCGCCCACAGGATGGGTAAGGTGACTACCGCCCACAGGATGGGTATGGTGTGATTACCGCCCACAGGATGGGTATGATGTGACTACCGCCCACAGGTTGGGTATGGTGTGACTACAGCCCACAGAATGGGTATGGTGACTACCGCCCACAGGATGGGTATGGTGTGACTACCGTCCACAGGATGGGTATGGTGTGACTACCGCCCACAGGATGGGTATGGTGTGACTACCGTCCACAGGATGGGTATGGTGTGACTACCGCCCACAGGATGGGTATGGTGTGACTACCGTCCACAGGATGGGTATGGTGTGACTACCGCCCACAGGATGGGTATGGTGCGACTACCGCCCACAGGATGGGTATGGTGCGACTACCGCCCACAGGATGGGTATGTGGTGCATAATAAACATTAAACTAACGCTGATCCCCGAAACCGTCTCCAGGTATATACACATACAACTTACAGTTACACAATAAGTTTTTGGTGAGTGCAATTGTCTTACATGGTAATATAACTATAAATTACCGAGGATAACCCCCACAAAAAGTCAGATAAAGTGACTTATTAATATTCTAATCAGATCTTGTGATTTAAGCGCAATTCAGTCCATGAAATGTTCAATATTAAAGGGATTTTGCCAGGTACATGTTATTTTGTACAAATAGTAAAAAGCGTAAGCAACAAGAACGAGGATAATCTTATTAACCAATATGTTGAAAATAAAAGACTGATTATAATCTTTATTTCTACAAGTACAAGGTGTACAGGCCTAGCTGACATCAATGATATACTACTATACAGAAAGCCCCTCGTTATGCAGAGCATTTCGGGCAAATAGGTAAATTTTTTCCCTAGGATGTAACCCACACCAGTCAAGTACCTATCTACTGCCAGATGAACAGGGACAGCAGGTGTCTTAATTAAGGAAACACGACCTAATGTTTTCACCGCTAGCAATCGAGGCTAGACGTGACTATGAAATTTAAATTTCTAGTGAGTCAAAGACAGATGCAATCACTTTTCATGCACTTTTAAATAAGACAATGTGGGTCATAGTACATTATACCCATTTTTATACAGAAATTTTTCGAATATTTAGCACGACCCCACCCCTTGTTATTTGTATCGTTGTGGAACAGCTTAAACCCCTGAATGTGGCACTTGGCAATCACGTACTGACTCTTCAAATTAAACCATTTCCCAGTTATTACAAAAACATCAACGGTTCCCGCACTCGTAACTAATCTCAACTCCATCTTGCTTCTAGCGCAGCGAGTATTTGTGTAACAAATGCTAAGCAACCCTTTCCTGTCTTTTTTTCCCCCTTCTCATCATTGTTTCTCCCATCACCACCTAATGCCACCGGATCGTTACTACAGATATTAATCGATAATCCCACTTTGTTCTGCTGACAACTGTCATCCCCAAAATCTACAATATCACTCTGACAAATCACAGAGTTCAATTCTATAATACCATATTTCGTTTTATTCCTAACACCCATAAATCTAACTATTTCTAATTTAAAGTGACAACAGCTCCTTCCATTAACTAGTTACTCCTGCCGTAAATAAATGAACACCATCCCTGGCATATATGTCATTCGAGCCATAAAAGTGTTCGTAGATGTCGACAAATAGTACTGCAATATTCTTATAGTGTTTATCAGTCAGCCATTTGCACCAACAGCCTTGAACAATCATTCATTTCCTTGGTAACATGCCTCATATTACAGATTTCTTCCTTCCTAATTAAACTTATTCCTGCCCTAGACCTGCTAATCAGGTGCTGACTTCTATGCCTAACATCATTGCTTCATGCGCTGATTCATTTAATAGGGTTGATCCCTTTCATGATGCAGTTCAGACGGTTAGGAATATCCTCCATCATTGCCCCGGGAAAGCACACCTTCTGCCTCTTACTCCTATCCTTCAAACAACAAAGCCCTGTTCATAAACCTAATCTGTCTGTCCCTAACAAGAGCAATATTCTAACCTCCACTGGCGTGGTATTCTCTATGGTCGATCCGCATTCGTCAAGCACCACAGAGAAGGACTTGTGATCTGAGAAATCACAGACCTTCCCCATCTTCATCTTCAGCCTTTCCTTCCCACTCGTTACGGGAAGTCTTCTCATGGATTCGGCTGGTCTCCATTTCGTTGCTGCTTGTCTCCAAGTTGCTGTTTTGGGCTCACAGAAACCAATTTTATCCCTCCAGTACCAAGATACAAAGAGAATGATGAGTTCTTCAGTTACATAGGTCAACTCACTACTGACACTCGCCCAGCAGCATCCACTGACTGACTCCGTACTAACCGTTGTTTGGTCCTAAAGCGCAAAATGAAGTATAATATTTGCTAATATCTCCGAAAGTAAAAATTTGCACAAGAAATAACAAAGCCGAAAATATAAATTCCTTGCCTGTATTTAAAAAAAAGTAAAATAATGTGAGTTCTCTCAACTCTAACTTGAGGCTAAATTGTATTGACTTTTTGGTTAATTAGGCTATTAGTGCTATTGACTCGCAGGCCTTCATAGCCAAAAAACAGCAGATTTGACATAACAGCAAAAACAATGACACCACCACCAACAAGCACTCGTGATGCGTAGTAACTGTTGTTAGGCACAGTAGCTGCAATTAAACTCCATCAAGAGATGCATGAGGTATAATTCAAACATATACTTGACAATACCAGGAGGTTGTTTTTGAGTACTTAGTTTTAAGCTGAGCACTTAACATATTAGCTTAGCACCTATAGGTTAATACCCTCAAACGGCACAGGAGATATATGCCGTTAAGCATATGAGGCATATGAGGTTAAGCTCGGCTCTTGGGTGTCCTTCAAGAGACCCAGAAACTGGAGCCCAGCTATGTCAAGTGTTAAAAATATGACACAATAAGACGAAACTAGTTTGACGATACCCGTAGAGTTTAATCCAAGTAAAGTGCAGCTGGGGAAGTGATAATGTTTTCTGGGAGGTAAACCTTGCTGCCATATCACGAGAACCAGTAGACTGATTGATGTTTGATAGACTCACATCAGTTATTCTTATGTGACAGGGAATGTAGTAAAGCCTAGAATTGTAAAGAATATAATTAAATGTTCGAATTAAGATTAATTTTCTGAATTTACTGTAGGTTACAGATAAAAAATATCTTCTAACTGGGTGAAAGAAATTGCGTAAAATAATTTAATACAGATGTAAGGTGATATGACATTCCATTAAAACTCTGGTTAAGATCCCAACTGCTTAGTGCCTGACAAGGTAAGTAGGACATCCATAATTTTTTAATAAAACTAGCAAATTGGCACCTATGAAAACCCAATGACAACCTGAACCTTTCCTTCGATTATAAGATACACCAGTGATGAGAGATTGAAATCATCATAAGGAAGCCTTCTCGTGTTATTGCACGGAAACTAATTTGTCCATCATAACTGATAAATTGCATAGCTGGTCCACTCACCATTTTAACGTTTCCGGGTTCAGCGCTTCCTCATGACTTTAATAATAATGATAATAAATGGACGTTCCCTGGAAATTTCTGTCCACGTTTTAGCTCTTATGAATAATGAACAACGTTCTCACGTTAATGCCCTCTTTAAAATTTATAAATACGTAAATAACTGTTTTATTTTTTCTTTCTCTATCAACGATGAGAAATTTCAATTACTCAGATATGGTAAACATGAGGAAATTAAATCTTCATCAGAGTACAAAACAAATTCTGGCCACAAAATAGAGCGAAACACCAACGTCAAAGACCTGGGAGTGATTATGTCGGAGGATCTCACCTTCAAGGACCATAACATTGTATCAATCGCATCTGCTAGAAAAATGACAGGATGGATAATGAGAACCTTCAAACCTAGGGAGGCCAAGCCCATGATGACACTCTTCAGGTCACTTGTTCTATCTAGGCTGGAATATTGCTGCACTCTAACAGCACCTTTCAAGGCAGGTGAAATTGCCGACCTAGAAAATGTACAGAGAACTTTACACGGCGCGCATAACGGAGATAAAACACCTCAATTACTGGGAGCGCTTGAGGTTTCTAAACCTGTATTCCCTGGAACGCAGGAGGGAGAGATACATGATTATATACACCTGGAAAATCCTAGAGGGACTAGTACCGAACTTGCACACGAAAATCACTCACTACGAAAGCAAAAGACTTGGCAGACGATGCACCATCCCCCCAATGAAAAGCAGGGGTGTCACTAGCACGTTAAGAGACCATACAATAAGTGTCAGGGGCCCGAGACTGTTCAACTGCCTCCCAGCACACATAAGGGGGATTACCAACAGACCCCTGGCAGTCTTCAAGCTGGCACTGGACAAGCACCTAAAGTCAGTTCCTGATCAGCCGGGCTGTGGCTCGTACGTTGGTTTGCGTGCAGCCAGCAGCAACAGCCTGGTTGATCAGGCGCTGATCCACCAGGAGGCCTGGTCACAGACCGGGCCGCGGGGGCGTTGACCCCCGAAACTCTCTCCAGGTAAACTCCAGGTTACAGGAGGGACTCGCTTTACAGTGCTTTACGGCATTTTGCTAATGCAGCCGTTTTCAATTATATTCATTCTTCATTTATTCAGACTTCCTACAATAAATATATCACCACTCACTATAAGCTAAGGACAAAAATATTTTAAGGTAAGTACTGTGTGTACTGGTGTTGCATTTTTTAAGCCAAGCTTTATTGCTCACTTAATATTTGACATTGTCAACACGTTATCAGAATTTTATGTACATTGAAACTGAAGAACGGCTTGAGGGATTTCACTTTACAGCAGTTTATGCTTTACAGCACTAGTCCGGAACCTAAGCTTCTGTATAAGCAGAGCTCTCCTGTATTATATAATATATATATATATATATATATATATATATATATATATATATATAAATATATATATATATATATTTATTTTATTTATTTTTTATTATTATTTATTATCACACTGGCCGATTCCCCACCAAGGCAGGGCGGCCCGAAAAAGAAAAACTTTCACCATCATTCACTCCATCACTGTCTTGCCAGAAGGGTGCTTTACACTACAGTTTTTAAACTGCAACATTAACACCCCTCCTTCAGAGTGCAGGCACTGTACTTCCCATCTCCAGGACTCAAGTCCGGCCTGCCGGTTCTCCTGAACCCTTCATAAATGTTACCCTTTTCTCACACTCCAACAGCACGTCAAGTATTAAAACCATTTGTCTCCATCACTCCTATCAAACACGCTCACGCACGCCTGCTGGAAGTCCAAGCCCCTCGCACACAAAAAACCTCCTTTACCCCCTCCCCCCAACCTTTCCTAGGCCGACCCCAACCCCGCCTTCCTTCCACTACAGACTGAAACACTCTTGAAGTCACTCTGTTTCGTTCCATTCTCTCTACATGTCCGAACCACCTCAACAACCCTTCCTCAGCCCTCTGGACAACAGTTTTGGTAATCCCGCACCTCCTCCTAACTTCCAAACTACGAATTCTCTGCATTATATTCACACCACACATTGCCCTCAGACATGACATCTCCACTGCCTCCAGCCTTCTCCTCGCTGCAACATTCATCACCCATGCTTCACACCCATATAAGAGCATTGGTAAAAAATATACTCTCATACATTCCCCTTTTTGCCTCCAAGGACAAAGTTCTTTGTCTCCACAGACTCCTCAGTGCACCACTCACCCTTTTCCCCTCATCAATTCTATGATTCACCTCATCTTTCATAGACCCATCCGCTGACACGTCCACTCCCAAATATCTGAATACATTCACCTCCTCCATACTCTCTCCCTCCAATCTGATATCCAATCTTTCATCACCTAATCTTTTTGTTATCCTCATAACCTTACTCTTTCCCGTATTCACTTCTAATTTTCTTCTTTTGCACACCCTACCAAATTCATCCACCAATCTCTGCAACTTCTCTTCAGAATCTCCCAAGAGCACAGTGTCATCAGCAAAGAGCAACTGTGACAACTCCCACTTTATGTGTGATTCTTTATCTTTTAACTCCACGCCTCTTGCCAAGACCCTCTCATTTACTTCTCTTACAACCCCATCTATAAATATATTAAACAACCACGGTGACATCGCACATCCTTGTCTAAGGCCTACTTTTACTGGGAAATAATCTCCCTCTTTCCTACATACTCTAACTTGAGCCTCACTATCCTCATAAAAACTCTTCACTGCTTTCAGTAACCTACCTCCTACACCATACACCTGCAACATCTGCCACATTGTCCCCCTATCCACCCTGTCATACGCCTTTTCCAAATCCATAAATGCCACAAAGACCTCTTTAGCCTTATCTAAATAATATATATATATATATATATATATATATAATATATATATATATATATATATTATATATATAATTATATATAATATATATATTTATATATATATATATATATATATATATATATATAAAATATTATATATATATATATATATATATATATATATATATATATATATATATTACACCTGGTAATATCTTTCATATATTCAGTATTATATTAAGAAAGTAAATATCGCTTGGCTGAACGTAAATCATTTACCTATGACTTTAAAACCACTGGTGCGTATTATGTTTGATTGTGTGATATTATTTTGTCTGAGTCAATACTGTTATGCCCTTTTATAATTTTCAATATTTGTATTGTCATCTCACTGAGCGTCTTGCAAGGCGTCCTTTTAAAGCGACTTATTTCTTGGTCACTATTAACATTCATATTTTTATTTATAATTTACAGAGTAATAATTTTATTATTCATATTACGTTTGGTAATGGATATCCTCAAATTTGTGAGTATTCTTCTCTAATTATGATAACCAGAACTGCCAGCAATAAAGGTCATATTCACTGAGAGTGAGTTTATGTTTCTCAGTGTATATATGCTAAGAATTTACTTTAATCTCTATTGAAAGTAACCTTGATGGGTAGTGAACCTGTTACGTGCAGCCTTTTAATGACCCTTTGTATAGTCGATAGGCTTTAAACTCAATAACCCAACCAACTTATATCTAATATTCTAAAAATAAATAAATTTTAAAGCGTTTTAGAAATGAAAACTTAACGAAGTTGGTGGTCATGTAGGAGGGACACAGTGAAAGTCAGCAATAAGGTCAACACAGCAGGAGATGACGACACAGCCAAGGTCACATCAAGTCACGTCTCTTCTCAAGACTAGATTTTATTATATTTCAAGAAGTGTTTAACCCGTGTGGGTCTTTCAGCGCAAGGAGT